CTACCCACAGCCATTTCCCGTTGGCCCATCCATTAGCAGTGTGCTCACACCTGGGGGCAATGCGGGAACGCAGAAGACAAAAAGACTTGGAAAAAAACATTATTTCCAGTGTGGGCTTTGTGGTGGAGCACGGGCACGGCTCCGAGGCACAGCCGCTTGCCTTGCCCACGTTGGGAAGCCTTTTCCAGCTGGGCGCCCTCGGCTCCAGCAGAGGCATTTCTGCACCGAAGCCAGCTCCGGCTCCCTTTCCATCACAGCTCGGAGCCTCGCGTGGTGTGACTATTTCTGGGTGATTTGCTGATGCAAAATTCACCACTTGATAGCTCCGCTGCCGGCAGATGTGTCACCTCGCAGAAAAATAAAGGCACCGTGGCTGGGAGCCAGGGCTCAGCCTCCCACCGGGGTGATTTTCCCCCAGCCTGCTCCCCGCGAGGCCGACGCCGTGCGGATGCTGGAACTGCTCACAGAGCAAGGTTTCTCCTGTGCTTTTTCACACTGAAGGGGATGTTTGGGTTTGGGATAGCTGGACGGATCACCTTGCTGTCTCGATGTTTGCTGAAAATCATCCAGCCACCTGCAGCGCTGAGCTAAGGGCTGGGGAACACGGCCCAAGTTTTTCCTGCAGCCCCACTGCCTTTCTGAGCAAGCATCACTGCAGGAGCCTTTTGACAGCCCAGCCGCTCACCCAGGGCTGGACTTTTTTACATTTCCCCCTTGAAAACCCCACTTTGGGCTAACTTCCAGAAAGCTGGAGACGGCACGGCCCCGAGCCCCATGGCACGAGCTGGGGGCGCAGCGCCCGGCACTGCTGCCCTTGTGCCTGTGTCCTGTGCCTATAGGAGGGTGCACGCACCCCGTCAGGGACAGCTGGGAATTTTAGGCAAGATTGGCTTAAATTGGATGCCTGGGGACAGCCTGGGGACACTGCCTGGCTCTGGCCCCGTGCCCTCCACAGTGCCCGGCCCCGCAGCTGCGCTGACGGAGGCCCGATGCGTTCAGATAGACTTGGACAGACTCAGATAGACTCAGATATATTTAGCTGCTGCTGCGGCCCCACCTGCTCGCAATCACAGAAATGCTCGGCGAGGCGATTTTCTCCTGCCGCTGCTTCCTCCCGCAGCCCCCCCCCTGCCCCAACATTTGCTCCTGGTGAAAGCGCCCGGACGAAAAAAGCCTGCTGTGCCCAGCGAGGAAGTCCTTCACAAGTCGGGAGCTATTTTAGCCAGAAGAGCTCTTCTCTTGCCGGAACAGGCCTTATTTGTACGACTTTACAACTCAGGGTGACTTTCACAGCCCCTCTGGCTTAAAATCAGCTCCCAAGGCGCTGAGGAAGAAATGCACTTCCAAGCACTTTGTGGCACCGCAGGGAGCACCTGTATGAGTGCGGCCCCACACCGCTCCTGCTCGGCCACGGGAGGCGGCAGCAGAGGATTTACACACGCAGCTGGCACTGCACACACGTCCTGCAGTGCCCAGAGATGCCCTTTTTGATAAAATATTGGTAGGATAAAATATTGGTAAGCTGTTCGTCAGTTCTTGGGTCGGTACGGAATGGAAGCAGCGAGGTGCATGAAGGTAAAGGAAAAGGGAAAAAGGGAAAAAGGGAAAAAGGGAAAAAGGGAAAAAGGGAAAAAGGGAAAAAGGGAAAAAGGGAAAAAGGGAAAAAGGGAAAGGGAGGACAGCTGCAGGGCTCAGGGCACAAACTCACCCAGGCCAAGGCACGAAACTCGCAGTCCGGATTTCCCAAGGTTTCTAGAAAAAAAAGAAGAAAACAACGTTAGACCCAGGTGTGCACCAAAAGCACCCGTTTTCCTGCGGGGGAGCAGATTCCCACTGGCTCAGGCACCGCCAGGCTGCCTTCCCGCAGCGCTCCTGGCAGTGACCCTGGTTGTGGCACTCCCCTTATTCAGCCGTGTGCTCTTCATTCCCCTTCCCACTTCCCAAAGCAGCCCCAGAAAATCAGCACCCCCCACCTCGCCGTCCCCCTGCCGCCCTGGGCTGTTCTGGCCCCCCCCGCAGATCGGGGCTGCAGACAAGATAATTAGCCGGGAGGCCGGGAGACGTGCCGCAGGCGAACCCCTACCCTAACGTGAAGCTGGCGCGGCAGCACGAAATGCCCTGCTAATTATACCCTCCTGCTTTAACCTTCACATCACAGCCGGATCTGTGCAATTTTTTTGCCAGATCAAGGTATAATTTGGGGACCAGCTCTTTACCTTCCGCTGCGGAGCGCAGCGAACAATTACTGCGCTTTTTGTGTTTTTTTTTTTGCTGCTGGTAATGAATTATTTAAATCCAAAAGAAAGAACAGGACAGAACCCCCAAACCCTGACTTACTGGGGCCTCAGCTGTGCTCAGACAGCCCCATGCTCACAATATGTTTGGGGCAGGCGCCGACCCGATACTTTTTATAAGGAGAACACTGACAGACCCCCAGGTAACAAAACCCGCTGTGTGCACGGTGCTGGCACAGGCGATGCCATCTCCTCCTGCACACAGCGTAACCCTAAAAAAGTTAGGGTTATGCAGCTGCAGCTGCCTGCTGCTCCAGCCAGGGGTGTGCTGTTCCTGACCTGGGGCTCAGGGTCAGGATTCTGGTGTAACTCCACCTCACAGCCCGCCCAGCACAGAGCTGGCTGCACATTTCCAGCCCCATTCCCATTTGGAAAGCACCAAAGCTTGCTCCGAGCTCCACCCAGCTCCTCGCAGGCTGCTCCTCTAACAAATCTGGGCAGAAGCATCGTGTTTGACTTTCCAAAAGCTGTCCTTGCCGTTGACTTAGCGCGCACATGACCGGGGTGCTTGGAGAAATTTATGTCTAGGCTGAGGAGCCAACACCAGAAAACGCCAAGTCCTGTAAGCGCGAGATCCTCCCTGCACACTGAGTTCAGTAGCTGCTCGGCTGGAGGAAGGGTGCCAGTACATCGTGCACGCATCAAAAATTCAACTCTAACCAAAGTCATCTGATGTAGAAACGGGGTGGCTGTGCGTTTTCCATGAGGTTTGGCACCGGGCTGAGATGAGCCAGGCTGAACCGCGCTCAGGTGCGCTTTGCCTCACCCTGCAGCAGCTCGGCAGCACTCCCTTTTGTTCATACACCACTTCTCACTGCTCTGCCTGGCTTCTCCCACCTCTGACACCTTATTGCAGGACCGGAGGGCTGGCATCTCTCCAGACAAGCCCCCTCCAGCCCCTGCTGAGCACAGGAAGGTGCCACTGGCTGCTGGCTCCAGCTGCAGCACGGGGCAGCCTTCAAACTGCTTCCAACCACCTGTCTGAAACTGCCTGGGTTTGCTTTATCCCAAACTTGCACCATGAGCGAGGCCTGAGAAGCACTCCACATCGCCTCCTGGATTATTTAATGACAAAGCCTAAAGCAAAGCAGCTACATTTTCAGAGAGAGAAGAGAATGAAAAAGAAAACAAACCAAGAACCTCCCCGAGAGCCACCTCACCCAGACATCGCTGCTCTAACCCAGTCCTGCTCCTGAGCACAGCTCACAGGGACGGGGGGACGGCACCAGGACAGAGGGACAAGTCACCCAGCACGGATGCACCTCAGAGCAATGTCCCTAGGAAGAGAAGGACGGATCAAAGCAATAGGGAAAGTTTCTCCTGCGTCTTTGGCCCCGCACTCATTGCAGGAGAGGACGCTCCAGGCTGCAGCAGTAGCTGAGCATTCTTCCTCTCTAAACTTCCCAAGATTTACATCTAGGCAGAGCTGGAAAGATGCAAATTCTGCAAGGTGCAGCAAATTTTACGGTGTTTGGATGAAAAAAATGCAGCGTTTTGTCAGGATGCGACACGGTCAGCGAGATGCCGCAGCAGCGCGCCCGCGGTGTCCTGGCTCCCTGCCGGTGCCGCCCAGCCCGCCTCTGTCCCGCTCCTCTCCCTGGGGATCAAGAAACGCATCGGGTCCCCATGCAGCCTGCACTCGGAGGACTGATTTTGTCCACCAGAAGCCAGTCGGGAGGATTAATTTAAGCGGACCAAAGCACAGCTCCAGGCTGGCTGTGGAGCAGTGAGAAGCGGCAGCTGCTGCGCTCTGCAAGGGGGCTGAGAGGGGAGAGCCCTGCCCGTGGCCACACCAAGAGGGAAAAGCCCTGCCCGAGGGTCAGAGCTGCACCGAGCAGGGCTGACCATTTGCTGTCTGTTTCCCACATGTTCCTTCTGTGGGACCTAAATCTTGCATCCTTCCCATCCGAGGTGAGCTGCAGCCCCTGCAAACAGTGGGCTTCACACAAGAGGGAGAAAACACCCCAAAAGCCAAGGTGTGCGTGCTGGTCTTCTCTCCTGGTGCACATCAGAGCAGCTCCTCCAGGTTGTGCTGGGGCAGCGGGTGCAGGAGGGGAAGGCTTGGCAGCTCCCCAACGGCACAGCTCGCAGCTCCGTGGCACTGTTGGGAACACACAGAGGCGCAGGAGCAGCACACGAGCAGGGCAGGAGTTTCCCTGGACCAGGCTTCTTGAAGGTGAGGGCACGCTCGGCTCCCAGGGACGTACCCGTGCCATCAGGCTCACCCTGGTGAGCAACCAGAGGCTCAGGAGAGGCACGGCACAGCTTGGCACAGCCCCTCCGGCCATGCAGCACCCAGGGCGCGAGGTGGAAGGAGGAATTTCCACATGGAAAAACCTTCTCGAAGTCCGCAGGGCTGACGGGAAAGCGCTGTTCATTTGTAACTGCAGGGGGAAAACCAACAAAGCCAAAAACCTGCCATGCAGTTCAGCTCTTTAACGCATGCAAAATTATCCTCATGAAAGATGATTTGGGTCTGGACCTGCCTGGGATGCTGAATAAGCCTGAATAAGCAAAAACCTTTCCTTTCTGCAAAAGTGGGGGAAAAAAAAAAAAAAAAAAAGTATTTTGCTTGTTAGCCATTTTGCTGCGAGCGAAATAATGAGCGAAAGCAGGAGAAACAGGAGGCGGAGAGGTGCAGGATTTGAGGGATGTGTGAGAATCGCTCACTGCACGGCTGAGGCCACGATTGTGATTCATGAGAAAGGCAAAGACGGCAGCTCCTGACCTCAGGAGCTTTCTGGTTCAGCATCAGGAAGTTAAAAAGCAACAGAAATGGGCAGAGGGGGAATAATACATCCAGCAGGAAACACAGAGCAGAGACAGGGTAACGAGAGGCACCCGGGATAACGGCTGCCGGTGAGGATTTGGGGGGAAAAATCACCTTTTTTCGAGAACCTCGGGAACAAAGGAGGCTGAAATCCCTTCCCAGGGGAGCGCTCTTTGTAACGCGGCACTGCAGGCAGGTTAGATTATGTCTGAAATAAATGTTAATTTTAGGAAAAAAGACAAGAGGGCTGAAAACGGAGATGAATATTTGGCGCTGAAAAGCGAGGATAATTTGAGCACGCGGCAACGCCGAGCCCACTGCACTCCTGCAGGGCACACGATGGGACCAAGCCCCCCCCCACCGCTGGCTGCAGCTGGACACACGGGGACACGAGGAGGTTGGGAAGCTCTCCCCTGGCTGCTGCCTTTGCTTTTGGAAGCCTCGTGCCCCCCGAGGACAGCCCCTCCTGCACACGGGCTGCCCCCTGCCTCCAGCCAGCCCCTCCTTCACGTGCTTTATGGCAACTTTTCGCTTAATTATTTCCTCCGAAGGGGAAGCGCTGACGGTGCAGGCAGAGCCGAGCGGGACCCAAAGGGATCTGTGATTCATTGCTCCCTTCACGGGCTGCTGAGCGGGGCCCAGCCTGGGCAGCGGTGAGGTGCTCGGTCACGTCCTGGGGACATCCAGAGCTGATGGCATCCTTAATTAAAGGAGAGGGGAGAGAACGTGCCTGAGGAGCAGCCCGTGCCATATGGCAGGAGTGGCACTTGTCTCCTGTGGCACGGGGCAGAAAGCAATTGTAATTACTCACTTTTAATTAACTCTAGCGCAGGGAAATGGGTAAGAGCACCCAGCGGTGCCAGAGGCAGCCACCCCGTGGGGAACAGCCCCACATCCCCCACCGACGGTGCCCCCAGCTCCCCTGGACACCCCCAGCCCAGCTCACCCCACAGGCAGGGGTGCACCCAGCCCAGGCAGCCCCCCAAGAGCCCCGCACCCCCCTCCTCGTGCCCCCACAAGCAGCTCTCCTACACTACACAGCCCACACCTGCAGCCCCTTCTGGCAGTGATTTATGGTCTGAGCCTCCTGCGCTGCTTAATCAACTAATTAACCCGCAGCTGCTTCCTGCGATGGCGAAGGGACAAAGCAATCGGAAGAAAGCACACGCTGCTTATCCAAAAAACACCCCAAAGCCACCCCACTGACCACCCCTCGCCCTTGCAGGTGGGCCACAGGGAGTGGGGGCAGGCTCAGCAGGCAGTCCCCAAAGCAGCACCACGTTTCCCTGTCCCTTAATGCTCACTTTTCGCCCACCTCCCTCTGCCAGCCCCCCCCAGGAGCAGCACGGCCCCGGGGGGCTCCCTGCCCCATCCCCAGCTCCCTGGGGGCCAGCACTGGGAGTTATGGGGGGGCCCTGCGTACACCCTGCTGCAAATGGCTCAAAGCAGCCTCGTGTTTGGGAGAGGTGGAGAACAAAGCATGAACCTACAGAGCAGGGACAGCCAGGGGGCTCGGGAGCTGGGGGTGCTGAGCAGCTCTGCTTCAGAATCTGGTTAAAGAGCAGCTTCCAATGGCCCCAGCTGAACAATGTGGTGAGGGAACCAACCTGTCTGTATTCCTATCCATCCGTCTTTCCATCCATCCATCCATCCATCCATCCATCCATCCATCCATCCATCCATCCATCCACCCATCCACCCATCCACCTATCTATCTTTACATCCAGCAATCCTCCCATCCATCCACTCACCCATCTATCTATCTATCAGGAATGAGACAGAAAAAAGCTTATTTTTAAGGAAGAACACAAGTTTTCTAACAATTCTATGCACCGCCACACCCAGAGCGACTGAAGCATTTCCACACCCACGAAGAACAACTGATGAGCTCCACAGAAACCCAACTGTGCTGCTCTTCCCTTCTGCACCCCCCCAGCTCCATTGCCCTGTCCTGGAGCTTGTGCCCGCAGCAGCCAACCCCCACCAGAAATGCTGGGTGGAGGGGACGCGTCCTGCCTGGGCCAGGACCCCTCGGGGTGACCTCCTGGGGTCCTCCTGGAGCCCCCCACCCAGCCCTGCTGCCCTGCAGCAGCCCGGCACCCCGTGCCCGTGAACATCTGTATAGGGTGAGCCCGGGGCTGGGGCTAAAGGCCCCCGAGCCACCTGGGTGGGCAAAGTTGGGAGAACCAAGGCAAAGCTCTCCTGTGTGCAAACAGCAGGCGGTTCGGCTCATTGTTACCAAAATGTACAAAAATGTCACCGTTCCTGAAGCTTGCAGTGGGAAAACAACGTTGCTTAGAAACATCCCCATTATTGCTTCAGAACAGCTCCTTTTTGCACAGAAAATGAATAAAATATGTAATTTGCTCCCTGAAAAAGCAGTGCTGCACGTCCCAGCCAGACCTGGCAAAAGCAAAGCCCACCCCACGTTGCTCTCCCCTCCAGCACGGGCTCCGAGCCTCTCACCGGGCACTGGGCTCTGGCCACCTCCCCCTCCGTGCCAAGCCCTGCTTCTCGCCCCCCTGTAACGCCAAATCTCTGCGGGGCGAGTTCCCCTCCAACCTTTCCACTTCCCAGTCCCCAGCACTTTTCCATGCCTGCTTCTTCCTTCCTGCTGCAGAACTCCTGCACGCCCTGGTGGCACCTCGTGCGCTCCCGGAGCTGAGGTTGCACGGCCCCGTGCCCGCCTGGCAGGCTGCAGCCCCGGGGCTTTGCTCCCCCACCTCCACGTCGTGCCTTTAGCCTGGCTCAGCCCAGACTTACTTCTCCACCTCCTCTTTTAATGAAGTGGGCAGCAGGAGAAATCTGGAGTGCGCAGGAGGGAGCAGGGGGGGCTCAGCCCTCCCAGCCCTCCCCAAACACCAGCCCGGCGCTTCGCCGGCTGGTTTGAGGCTCCTGCTTCCCTCCGCCGGCCTCCTCGCAGCCCGGGAGGCTGGCAGCACGCTGACAACTTTGCAGGCAGAGTCTGCAGGAAAAAAAAAAAAAAAAAAAAAACACAACTTGGCTGGGAGCACGGCACCGGCTGCTTGCTGGCAGTGCAAAACGCTCCGCTGGGGACCCCGGTGCCGCCCCGGCACAGCTGGGCGCAGGCCTCCTGCCCTGTCACATGCACCAAGGGCGCTTTGTGCTCCCATGGGTGCTGTGGGGAAGTGACACTGGCTTGGCCTCACCCCGTCCCAAGGGGAACTGGCACCCGCCAGCCTGCTGGGATTCCTGCTCTCAGCATTTCTGAGCGTCCCCGTTCCCCGCGAGCACCGCTTGTCGCGGCTCAGCGCGCTGCAACAGCCCCGGGTGCGAGTGAGCTCTGCTGCTGGCACAGGGCAAGGCAGCGCAGACGTGTTAATTCTCTTCTTTAATTAACTCCAGCGCTTTCCTGCCTCTCCCCTTAGATTTAATCTTGCCTCATCAGCTCAAAAAGAGCTGCAGAGTTTCGGAAATTGCTGGGTGCCCCTCCAGCGAGCTCTGCTGGTGCGAGGGGCGTCTCTAAGTGGTGTGGGTGGGAAGGGAGAAAAATAATGGTTTCTGACTCCCATTTTGTGAACAAAACACTTCACAACATGCACAGCAGTTTCCCTTAAATTACAGCCCGTATTAGCAGTAATTGCAGCGATGCAGAACCTCGGCTTTCCACTCCCTCATGGATTTTAAAACCGCTCACTGCCGCAGAGACAGCGAAGCGAGGGGCTCTGTGCAGGTCTGGGCACCGGCACGGCCTCGGCAGGCGACAGCCACGGGTGGATGCAGAGCCCAGAGCCCACGGCACCCTGCTTCACCCCCTGTAATCCTGCAAAAAACACCACAATGCCCCATCGGCCCCGGCCCTGTTCCTCCATCTCCAGGCAGCACCACGTTCCGCCCGTAAAATGGGTTACTGCGGGAAAAGAGGTGAAAACCTTTGCCTCTGGAAAGCAAGGACCGTGGTTTTTAAACCAAGCCTTAAAAGAATGTTCCCTCACTCTAATGTGAGCCACGCTCCTGCCGGTGCCCCAGAAACGTTCCCCGTGTCTGAGGGTGCCTGGAACTGGGGCTGCTCGGGTCGGGCAAAGGAGCCGAGGGCACCCTTCGAGCCGGAGAGCTGCAGCAGGCACACGGGTACCCCTCTCCCTCATGCACTGCGGACACTCATGCCAGGTGCCCCCCCTCGGGAACAGTTTCTCTGCCGGTGAGGGGCACAGAGGAGCACACGGAGCTGCAGAAGCCGCCGGAGCGCTGCGGATCATCCAGCAGAGTGCTGGGAACGAGCTCTGGGCGCCTTGGCTGAGCACCAGCACTCCCCCAGCTGCGTTACGGCCCAGCCCCGGTGCCTGACGTGCTGGGGCTGCTGCCTGGCAGCCGCTGCCTGTGCTGTGCCATCCCTCCTGCCTGCGGTGCTGCAAACCCAGCTGGAGCCGATTCCAGCCCCGCTGGTCCCCGCAGCCCGCTGCAGGTGCTCCAGGAGGAATCACAGCTCGCTGGGGGTGTGAATCCAGCTCCGTGCCCAGCCAGGCAGGGGTGGAAAAGGATTTCTGGGTGGCAAAAGCCTGAGATCTGTGGCTGGGCTTGGCTGGCACAGCACGCTGGGCGGGCAGCAGGGTCCCAGGCACCAGGGCAGCGGGGTTCCCGCTGGGTCCCCGCTCACCAGGAGGATCCCAAGCTCTCTCTGTCCCCTTTTTGCCTTCCCACGGGGGCTGGGGAGGCGGTGGTGGCTCGTGAGCCGCTGCACGGGCACTAAGCATTGAGCCAGAGATACAAAACAGGGGGCACGGCTGAACAGAATAGCTGCAGGGGCAGGAGAGGAGAGGAGAGGAGAGGAGAGGAGAGGAGAGGAGAGGAGAGGAGAGGAGAGGAGAGGAGAGGAGAGGAGAGGAGAGGAGAGGAGAGGAGAGGAGAGGAGAGGAGAGGAGAGGAGAGGAGAGGAGAGGAGAGGAGAGGAGAGGAGAGGAGAGGAGAGGAGAGGAGAGGAGAGGAGAGGAGAGGAGAGGAGAGGAGAGGAGAGGAGAGGAGAGGATCCATCAGCTGCAAACCAGCCGCCAAGCGAGGAGGCGGGTGCCGGGAGGTGGGAGCACCGGCTTGGCATCAGGCGAGGCAGAGCCGAGGCGCAGGCAGCGCGGGGACCGGCAGATGTCTAAATGGCATCTGTGCCCCCTCCCTTGGCTCCCGTCACACTTTCCAAATCATCTCCGTTACTCGCAGGGCCACCGGGTGCGTAGGTGGCCATCTTCGCTGAAATTCCCCAGAATTTTTTTTGGCTGCCTCCTTAGGAAAGTTGCGGATGACGCACCGACATGCAGATAAGGGGAGCTGAATGGGCCGCAGCCAAGCGCGGGGCGCTGCTGGCAGGCACACGGCGCTGCCGGCCCCCAGGAGCCCCCCAGGAGCCCCCATGGGTGCCCCCATCCCCAGCACCCTGCGCACAGCAGCCACACAGCACCGCCTCCGGGTGCCAAGGGGGCTCTGACCGCGCTGTGCCCGCAGCCTGCAGCGAGCAGGGGCAATTAGCCCAGCAATAAGCCTGCCTGGAATTCAATTTGGATCCTGCCGGAGCAGCCACGCTAAAATAATAGTTTTAAAATGTGTAAAACTGTGCACTTCACTAGCCATTAAGCCAGCAGTGTTTCTACATCACCTCTTCTCTTCCGTCCATTTAGGCATTCAATTAATGTCGTAATGCAGCCTCTAAATGGAAAAAAATCCAAAAAAGGAGCAGCCCGGGACCAGTTTTAGCAAGCATTCACCCTGGTAATTCCGAGAAGTGACCTGGAGAGCCAGCGCGTGCTGCCTGGTGCCAGAGGTGTCCCGCAGCCACCCAGCCTGCTCCAGCCCCGCCGCAGGGGACACCTCTGGTGGCACGAGGTGCGGGCAGGTGACAGGCACCCAGTGCCGATGGGGACGTCCTGCTGGGGTGGGGGGTGTCACCCACTATTTGTGTGTGGCTCCGGGAGGGGATGTCCCAGTTCTCTGGCAGACAGCA